TTTCATTGTGCAGAAGCCTTTTAGTTTTATGAAGTCCACATGTCCACTCTTTCTCTTAGTTGCTGGGCTGCTAAGGTTCTATTGAGGAAGTCATTGCCTATACCTATCGCTCCCAGAGTGTTTCTTGCTCCTTCATGTACTAACTTCAGAGTTTCTGGTCTGATATTAAGATCCTTGATCCATTTTGAGTTGATACTAGTACAGAGTGATAAACATGGATCTAGTTTCAGTTTCTTGCAGATGGTTAACCACTTTTCCCAGCAACATTTGTTGAAGAGGTGGTCTTTTCTCCATTGTATATTTTTGGCACCTTGGTCAAAAATAAGGTGGGCATAGCTGTGTGGATTCGTATCCTGGTCCTCTATTCTGTTCCACTGGTCTTGATGTCTATTTTTTTGCCTGTACCATGTTGTTTTTATTGCTATTACTTTGTAAAATAGTTTGAAGTCAGGTATTGTGATACCTCCAGCATTGCTCATTTTGCTGAGTGTTGCCTTGGCTATTCTCAGTCTCTTGTGTTTCCAAATGAACTTTAGGGTAGAATTTTCAATCTCTGTGATGAATGTCATTGGGATTTTGATGGGAATTGCCTTAAACATGTAGATTGCATTTGGTAGTATAGCCATTTTTACTATGTTGATTCTGCCAATCGATGAGTATGAGAGATCTTTCCACCTTCTGTAGTCTTCCTCTATCTCTTTCTTCAGTGGGTTGTCATTCTCCTTGTAGAGGTCGTTCATATCCTTGGTTAAGTTTACTCCTAGGTAATTGATTTTTTGAGGCTCTTGTAAGTGGAATTGTTTTCCTATATTCTTTCTCAATTTTTTCATTGCAAGTATTTAATTATCAAATAAATTCTAGAGCTCTTCTATACAGCATAATAGTTCTATTCTATACAGCATATAGAATGTAGTTCTATATTTAATAATACACATCTGACCTTAAATATCTGCTAAAGGAAGATCTCTTGCTGTGTTCCTACAAAAAAAATCACAAAGAAGGAAAAAAGAATGATCCCTTTGAACCTTCCAAATAAGCCTATGCAAAAATGAACAAAATGAAAAGGGCACAAGAAAACTTTGGAAAGTTTGGGTATGTCTGAGACTGTTTTGTAGAGATCATCTGTCAGATGTGATCATAGTTACAAATTCATCACATTTTGCACATTAAATACAAGCAGTTATTGTGCAGCAGTTGTATTCAAGTAAAACTGTTACAGGAGCATGTTTTTATTATTCTCTTTGTTAGCAAGATGTAATGTGTCTTATTTATACCTGCCACATAACAAAATAGATCCAAGATATCCCTCTGGAACTAAGTTCAGTTGTGATGTATGAATGGCTCTTTGCTCAGCACTGGCACAATGTCATTTTTCTCATGAACATATTTAACTCCTGTCACTCAGAGTAGCCTTTGGGTCTGATCATTCTCTGTAGAGTTCTAAAAATTGAGAGTGTGTTTGTAAATCATGCTGTGAGCATTTTTTAAAGTGAAAAGGGACTTTAGTAATCCTGTCTTATTCATGCCTCTATTAAATGAAAGACAGCTGAAAAGCAAAATCTTTTATTTCTCATGTTTCTATTACAAATCTCAGTTGATGAGGAGAGGCACTCTGTCATTTTTGTCTGTTGTGTTTAAATCATTATGTGATATGCTGAGTGTTTTTGTGCCCTTAATTTTATGAAAACCTTTCTCCCCCAAAGGAAATGGTGCCCAAGAAGTAAGTAAAGGTTATGGGAAACCTAAGTCAAAAAATTTAGATCTGTTGAAAGACAACAAGAGACAGAGAGAGGGAGAATTATACTTTGAGGCAAGCCTGGGCAAAAATGTTAGCAAGACTGTTTCTTAACAAATAAGGCAGGTGTGGTGGTTCATGCCTGTAATCCTAGCTACATGGGAGACCATAGGTAGGATCCTCTTACCTATGTTGTTGGAGAAACTAGACATCTACATGTAGATGACTGAAACTAGATCCATGTCTTCCACTCTGTCTTTCAATTCAAAGTGGATCAATGACCTTCATGTAAGGCCTGAAACATTGAAACTCCTACAGAAAAAGACAGAGAGTGACTTCTTTGCATGGGTAATGACTTCCCAAATAGAATTCCAGTATCTTGGCCATTAAGAGAAGGGATTGACAAATGGGACTACATGAAATTAAAATGCTTCCACACAACAAAAGCAATGGTCACTAGAATTAATGACCCAATGAAAAACTGGCAAATGAGCTAAACAGAACCTTTCCAAAGGAAGAAATCCAAATGTTCAACACACACATGAAGAAATGCTCACTATCCCTGACCATAAAGGAAATTCATAGCAAAAACACAATAAGATTCCACCTCACTCCTGTTAGAATAACTACCATCAAGAACACAAATAACAACAATTGTTGGCGAGCATGTGGGGAAAAACCCCATGAGGGTTGGTGGGAATGTAAATTAGTGCAACTGCTATGGAAAGCACTATGGAGGCTCCTCAGAAAACTAAAAATAGAACTGTCCTATGATCCTGGGAAAATGTCTGAGGGAATGCAAGTCAGGATACAGTAAAGACACTTGCACACATGTTTATTGCAGCACTATTCACAGTAGCCAAGCTATGGAAATAGTCTGGTGCCCCATAACTCATGAATAGATGAAGAAAATGTGTTATATATACACAATGTAGTATTACTCAGCCCTAAAAAAGAATGTTAAGTGCAGTAAACCAGGTTCAGAAAGACTAAGGTCATGTATTTTTTCTCATATGTGGAAAATAGATCCAAAAGATAATGCAGACACAAATATATATGTGTACATATATATATATATATATATATATATTCTTTTATTTTTGTCATTCCAGCTAAAACGTGTCTCTTGAGAATATAATCCAGCTATATTTAAAAGAATTATTGAGAGTTAATGGTTTAACATTTCTACTTCATGAATTCTGTTATGGCTTTTTATATTTCCTTTATTTTCATTGTTCACATCTCATGGTTTTCCTTAAGGTTTTGCTGGATTTAAAGGTATGTGCTTTGACTTATTCCCTTTAATTACTGCATATTTAACTCTGTGCATTTTGTTGTGGTTATTGTGAGGCTTACATAAAATATCTTATAATTATAACATGTTATTTTTACATGAGCACAACTCAATTGCTCACAAATAAAAGTCATTCTTTTACTTGTCCACCCCATCGTCATAATTGGGTTGTGGTACTGCAGCTTATATCTCTCTATAAAATGTCTATCTGGTAACACAGTACTATGAATGTAATTATGTTTATTACGTTTGTTATTTAACCTTTGTACCAGAGTTGAACATGATGGAAACTAGACTTTTCAGTATAGAAGCACATTAAAAAAACTAAAAATAGAGCAGCCATATGATCCAGTAATGGTGCTCCTGAGCATATCCCAAGGGAGTCAGAGGCAGCACACAACAGAGCTCCTGGAGACCATGCTTCTGGCAGCACTGGTCACAAAAGCCACACCATGGAAATTGCCTCAGTGATGAACGAATAAATAAACAGTGGTAAATACACCTAATGGATTATTATTCAGCCACAAAGAAGAATAAGATCATGTTTTCAAGAAAACAGAACTGGAGACCATCAAGTTAAGTCATGACATGAGCCAGACTCTGAAAGGTCGTCTAATTACCTCTTTTATGTGGAATTTAGGGAAAAAATTTAAAAGGACATGAAAGTAAAAGTGAGGCTATCATGAATTACAAAGTGAACCAGTGAGAGGGGTAGAGGAGAAGTAAGCAGGGGAAATGAGTGCGTAAATATGGTCAAAGTCCATCATACACCTGTTTGAAAATGTAATAATGAGACCCACTAATAAAGTATGTCCTGGCTTTGGTAACTATGTTTTATTACCCCATTTCATGTAATTTTAAATTCATTGGCATAAAGCTGTATGCAATGTCATGTTATACCTGTAAGGGTGCAGCATCCCTTGAGTGCTCTCCTTTTCACTCCTGGTTTTGAATGTTTGTGCCCATTCTTGCTGTTCTATTTCTTTCCCTGTATACTTTACAATTTACACACACATATGTTATATATATGTATATATTATATTTTATATATTTTAATGTGTTACAGATGTGTGGGAATGTGTGCATGTGTGTGGGGGTGTATGTGTGAGATATCTGTTGTCAGATGAGGGTTTTGTTAGAAAGCAGGAAACTTTTTGTGTACACAGTGCATTACCACATGTTATCTGAAGTCTGCAGAGAATGAATGGTCAGTTGCACTGTTGTTGTTGGTGGGTTCTCTTTGGCTTTCTTTGCATGAATCTAAATTTCTTTTGCTTTGGAAAAATGCATGCCTTTCCTGAACATTTATACATGTTATTTCTTCATGCAAGATACACTAAAATTGTAAAAATTATTTGTTAACTAAGAAAATATGTATCAAAGGGTTGTCAACACTTCTTCCTGCATACTTAAGGAAGAAGTCAAGGGAAACTCTGCAAGTACTTGAATAGTCAAGACTCAAAACCTGACAGTGATTATGTCATGGAAAACAAAGCAGCCTTACTGTGCTTAGATTCATTATCATTTTTCTATGTGGATGGAGACCATGCAAATATCTTCAGTATGCTTTCTAGGTAATTTAGATATGTGATGCTGTATTTTTTAAAATGGGAATAATGATGATTAATTCAAGTGAGTATGTAAACAGTAAATAGAATGTCACATACAAGTTAGCAACATAGGTAGTGTATAATGAATTGTGGCAATTATTACTTTTGGCATCTTCATTATTACCATCTTACAATCTTTGATCATGCACAAAGGAATTTTACTGAGTATTGTGCTTTCTAGTGGTAAAGATATAAATATTAGATTTTAAAACATATTTTCATAATAGAAAATATATAAACTGTATATCTGTGGTCACTGAACGTTTGCAGAAATAAATGAGTCATACATACAGTTAAATTTGTAAGTCAAAATGTGGCCAAACTTGGGTGCCTCAGTGGATTATCTGATTTCATGAGATATCTAACAATTATTACTTGTATTCACATAGTGATTTATCAATTTCTTTATGCAATTCTTAATATCTTTATTTCTCAGTGTGTAAATGGCTGGATTTAGGAGAAGTATGATCACTGTGTAAAACATAGCAAGAAACTTGTCCACCCAAGTGATGCTGACAAGCCACAAATAGATGAAAATGCAGGGTCCAAAGAACAGCACTACCACTATGATGTGGGATGTGCAAGTAGAGAATGCTTTTGATGCATTATCTGTAGAGTGAAGGTAGACAGTTAATAGGATGTAAGTATAGGAGATCAGCAAGAGAATGAAGCAAGTTGTTGTTAAAACACCACCGTCAACATTTCTCTCTACTCCCAAGGTATCAGTATCCATGCAGGCTAATTTTATCACGAAAGGGATATCACAGAAAAAGTTGTTCACTACTCTGGGCCCACAAAAGGGAAGTTCCAGTATCATGAGCAGTTGACTCATCACATGTAAAAAGCTAATGACCCATGATATCAAAACTAGTCCAATGCACTTCTCTCTGTCCATGATGCTGCTGTAATGGAGTGGCTTACAGATGGCTACATAACAGTCATAGGCCATTGTCCCTGCAAAGAAATGCACACAGAGGATCTGGATCATACAGCTCCCAAAGGAAATGGTCCTATTGTCCTGTAGGAGGTCGATGGTCAGCTTAGGGGTGGTCACTGAGGAAAGGCAGAAGTCAACAAATGAGAGATTAGCTAACAAGAAGTACATGGGAGAGTGGAGATGGTGATCAGTGATGATCACTACCACAACAAAAACGTTGCTCACCATGGTCATCAGGTAGATTGTAGAAAATGGCAGGAAGAGAAAGATCTGTAGTTCTTTTGAGGTGCAAAGTCCCTGAAAAATAAACTCAGACACCACCAACTGGTTTGCTTCTTCCTTCCAGTACACTATGTTCTAACAATATATAAAGAAAAAGAGGTGAACTGAGAACTCCTGGAATAGAAAGTAGAACTAAATGTTTAGGTTCCAAGAACCAAAACAGTTCCTCTATTCTGTTCCATTTGTCTTCATGTCTGTTTTTGTGCCAGTACCATGCTTTTTTTATTGTTATTGCTTTGTAATATAGTTTGAAGTCAGGTATCGTGATATCTCCAGCATTGTTCTTTTGACTGAGTATTGCCTTGGCTATTCGTGGCCTCTTGTTTTTCCATATAAATTTAATGGTAGATTTTTCAATCTCTTTAATGAATGTCATTGGAATTTTGATGGGAATTGCATTAAACACGTAGATTACTTTTGGGAGTATAGACGTTTTTACTATGTTGATTCTACCAATCCATGAGCATAGGAGATCTCTCCACTTTCTGTAGTCTTCTTCAATCTCTTTCTACAGGAGTTTATAGTTTTCCTTGTAGAGGTCATTCACATCTTTTGTTAGGTTTACACCTAGGTATTTGATTTTTTTTGAGGCTATTGTAAATGGAATTGTTTTCATATATTCTTTTTCAGTTTGTTCATTATTAGTGTGTGGAAATGCTAATGATTTTTCTATGTTGATTTTATATCCTGCTTCCTTGTAGCTATTGATGGTGTCTAGGAGCTTCTGAATAGAGTTTTTTGGGTTTTAAGGTATAGGATCATGTCGTCTGCAGATAGGGATATTTTGACAGTTTCTTTACCTGTTTGTATTCCTTTTATTTCTTCTTCTTGCCTAATTGTTCTGGCTAGGAATTCCAGTACTATGTTGAATAGGAGTGGAGGTAGTGGGCATCTTTGTCTAGTTCCTGACTTTAGAGGTAATGGTTTCAGTTTTTCTCTGTTAAGTATAATGTTGGCTGTAGGTTTGTCATATATAGCTTTTATAATGTTAGGTACTTTCCTTCTATTCCTAGTTTTCTTAGAGCTTTTATCATGAAATGGTGTTGGATCTTATCAAAGACTTTTTCTGCATCTATTGAGATAACCAAGTGGTTTTTGTCTTTGCTTCTGTTAATGTGGTTTATTATGTTTATTGATTTTCATATGTTGAACCACCCCTGCATTCCTGGGATGAAGCCTACTTGGTCGTGGTGAATAATCTTTTTGATGTGTTGTTAAATTTGGTTTGCCATTATTTTGTTGAGGATTTTTGCATCAATGTTCATTAAGGAGATTGGCCTATAGTTCTCCTTTTTGGAGGTGTCCTTGCCTGGTTTTGGGATAAGGCTTCATAAAATGTGTTAGGCAGTTTTCCTTCCCTTTCTATTTCGAGAACAGTTTAAGGAGGGTTGGTATCAGTTCTTCTTTATAGGTCTGATAAAATTCAGCAGAGAATCAATCAGGTCCTGGACTTTTCTTTTTGTGGAGGCTTTGATTGCTGGTTCAAGTTCCTTTTATGATATAGATCTATTCAGGTGATTAATATCCTCTTGGTTCAGTTTTGGATGATCATAGGTATCTAGAAATCTGTCCATTTCTTTAAGATTTTCAAATTTATTTGAATATATGTTCTTGAAGTAGTCTCTGATGATTTCCTGGACTTCTATGGTGTTTGTTGTTATCTCCCCTTTTGAATTCCTGATTCTAGTAATTTGGGTTTTTCTCTGCTCATTTTAGTCAGGTTTGCCAGGGGTCTGTCATCTTGTTTATTTATTCAAAGAAACAACATTTTGTTTTATTAATTCTTTGTATGGTTTTATTGGTTTCCATTTTGTTGATTTCAGCTCTTAATTTTATTGTTTCTCTCCTTCTATTTGTTTTGGGATTTGCTTGTTCTTGTTTTTCTAGGAGTTTAAGATGTATCATTAGGTCAGTGATTTGGGTTCTTTCAGTCTTTTTAATTATGCACTCATGGCTATAAACTTTCCTCTCAAGACTGCCTTTGCTGTGTCCCAAAGGTTCCGGTAGGTTGTGTTTTCATTTTCATTGACTTCCAGGAACTTTTTAATTTCCTCTTTTATTTCTCCATTGACCCATTGTTCATTAACTAATGAGTTATTCAGTTACCAGATATTTGCATGTTTTTTGTCATTGGTTTTGCTGTTGAGTTCTAGTTTTATTGCATTGTGATCAGAGAGAATGCATGGTATAATTTTCATTTTCTTATATTTGCTGAGACTTGCTTTGTGCCCTAGGATATGATCTTTTTGGAGAAAGTTCCATGGGCTGCTGAGAAGAATGTATATTATGTAGAAGTTGGATGAAATGTTCTGTGAGCATCAAGTAGGTCCATTGCTCTATTGTATATTTTAGATCTTGGATTTCTTTACTGATTTTTTGTTTGGATGACCTCTCTATTGATGATAATGGGGTGTTAATGTCTCCACAATCACTCTGTTGGAGTTAATATATGCTTTTAGGTCTTTCAGGGTATGCTTGATGAAATTGGGTGCATTGACATTGGGTGCATATAGGTTGATAATTATTATTTCCTTTTGATCTATTTCCACTTTTATTGGTATAGAATGTCCTTCTTTATCTCATTTGATCAATGTAGGTTTGAAGTCTACTTTGTCAGAGGTAAGTATTGCTACTCCTGCCTGTTTTCGAGAGCCATTGGCTTGGTAAATCTTCTTCCAGGCTTTCATCCTAATCCTATGTTTATTTCTGTCAGTGAGATGGGTTTCCTTTAAGCAACAAATTGTTGGATCTTCCTTTTTAATCCATTTTGTCAAACAGTGCCTTAGATGGGTGAATTAAGTCCATTAATATTAAGTATTAGTACTGATAGGTATGTGGTGATTCCTGTCATTTAGTTGTCTTAGTTCTTTGAAGGTTTGATTGTGTTTACCTAAGTTGAGGTGACTCTCTACTTTCTTGCTTTTTCTCCTCCTGTAGTTTGGTGCTGCCTGTCCTTTAATGGATATGTTGGGTTTCACTTTCTATGTAAGGGATTCTTCAAGAATCCCTTGAAGAATCTTTTGTAGTGGTGGCTTTGTGGTCACATATTGTTTTAGTTCCTGCTTATCATGGAAAGCTTTTATTGCTCCATCTATTTTGAATGATAGTTGTGCTGGATAGAGTATCCTGGGGTTGAAGTTATTTTCCTTCAGTGCCTGGAAGATCTCACCCTATGGTCTTCTTCCTTTTAATGTTTCTGTTGAGAAGTCTGCTGTGATGTTGATGGGTTTACCTTTGTATGTTATTTTTTTTTCTCTTACAGCCTTCAGTATTCTTTCCCGAGTTTCTGAACATGTTGTTTTAATGATGGTATGTCATGGGTTAGTTCTATTTTGATCTGGTCTGTTTGATGTTCCTGAGGCCTCTTGCATCTGTATGGGAATAGCTTTCTCTGGTTTTGGGAAATTTTCTGTTATTATTTTGTTGAATATATTATGCATTCCCTTTGCCTGCACCTCTTCTCCTTCTTCAATGCCCATGTTTCTCAAGTTTGGTCTTTTAATGGAATTGGTGAGTTCTTGCATTTTCTTTTCACAGGTCTTGAGTTGTGGTAATTAATAGTTCTTAAGTTTTTCCTTTAATTACCATTTTATCTTTGAGTTCTGAGATTCTGTCTTCTGTTTGCTCTATTCTGCTGGATTGGCCTTCTGTTTTGTTTTGCAATTCTGTTTTGTTCTTTTTTTCTGAGGTTTTCCATATCCTGGGTCGTTTCCTCTTTAATGTTTCTCTTTTTGTCCTGAGTTCATTTATCTCTTTATTAATCATGTTCTCTATTTCATTTTGGTGTTTATACAGTCCATCTATGGTTTCCTTCATTTCTTCTTTTGCTTTTTCAAATTCTCTATTTTTGTTGTCTTGGAATTTCTTGAGTGTCTCCTGTACATTTTTGTTGACCATATCCAGTATCATCTCTATAAAATTCTCATTGAGTACCTGTAGTATGTCTTCTTTTATATTATTCTTGTGGGCTTCATTGAGTTTTTTGGCATAGTTTGACTTCATTTTGTTGGAGTCTGGATCTGAGTATCTGTTTTCTTCATTTCCCTGTGGTTCCTGTACTAATTTTTTGCTGTGGGGAAACTGGTTTCCCTGTTTTTTCTGTCTTCCTGTCATTGCCCTTGGTGTTGTTAATGTCCCTGTACTGTGTGCAATTAAGTATTTTCTTGCTGTAATAATAGCACTAGTGATATTTAGAATGGAAGGGTGAGAGAGGATGGAAAACAAAGAAATTAAAGGAAAAGGAAAAAACAAATAATTAAGTGGAAAAAAAAACCAAAACAAAGAAACAAACAAGTTTCAAAGATATAAACAGGGAGAGACAGTGTACTAATCAACAGTAAGCTGAACAGGCATTAGAGAGACAAAGAGAGGATTGAGAATAAAAAATAAAAAGAATAAAGATAAGAATAAAAATAAAAAATAAGTAAATGAAAGAAAAAATGTATATATATAAATAAAATAAAATAAAATATAAAATAAAAATAAGAAAAAAAACCCTCCAAGTTCAAATGCAATGAAGTTTCAGTGTTAATAATTTTGGTGTTTGTCCCTCAGCCTCCAATGGTGCCTCAGATGTTGTTCTGTAGTTGTCTCATGAAAGGGGTAACATAAGAAAAATAAAGCCCTCAAAGTTCCCAAGTTCAAATGTAATACTGTTTCAGTGAGTTTTTCAGCAAGCAGGTGTAGTTCGGTTTTTTTCTCATCAAATTTAGTGAGAGAGAGAAAAAAAAGAGTCTGCAGAGAGTTCTGTGAATGGCTATCTGCAGCTGTGGCTTGCCTGCTCGCTGCTGTCAGCCTGCTGTAGCTGGAGGTGTTATTTTTGCAGATCTCTGGGTTGAGCTTAGCACTCACCAGGCCCAGCAAGCTTTGTTTACTCAGAGTTCTGTGCATGATGCCACTGCTACAAGCTTTCCCCTTTCCAAGCACAATGGGGGAGGTGACACTGCACCCATTTTCTCAGGCCTGTGTGTTTGTTTACAGCTCACATGGAAAGTGGGTCTTCCCCCTCTCCTGTGGAGTTTTCTTCCCATTGCTGCTTTTACAAGCTTTCCTGCTCCTGATTGCTGGGTATGTGC